CTCTCAAATCTGTAGCTCCTCAAATCTACAGACTCCCCAAATGTTAGACCCCCAAATCTGTAGCCCCCAACTCTACAGCTACTCAAACCGCAGCTCTCCCAGTCTTCCTCATTTCAATAATCAGGACCGCCCATCCACCAAGCTACTTCTCTTCTTTGTTTCACACATCCCACCCATTAGCAAGCTCTTGGCAGTGCTAATTTCCTGAATCCCAATCTGGCCAACTCAGCCCTTCCACCACCTGTACTCCTCTTCAGTGTCATATAATGCATTATACCAGATTTAGTGGCTTGAAACAACACTCACTATCTCAGTATCCAGCCAAAAGTCCAGGCATGGCAGGAAGGGGTTCTCTGCCCGAGGTCTTACGAGATTGTGTTCCTACCTGAAGGGTTTGGGGAAGAATCCACTTCTAGGCTCATTCACGTTGTTGCCTGAATTCGGTTCCTCGTGGCTATAGGATTGAGGTCACCATATCCCAGCTGGCTGTAAGCTGGGCATCGCTCTCAATTTCTAGAGTCTGTGTGCATTCCTTGCCATGGCGGGGACCCTCTCCATGGAGAATCTCCCCTACCTCAAATCCCTCTCACAATCCTCATTTCATTGCCACAGCAGCTGATTTTAAGGCCTCAGCTGTTTAGGGCAGACCCACCAGGCTTAATCTACTGGTCACAAAATCTAGTTTGGGACTTTCATTACATCTGCAGAATCTCTGCATAGAAGAACCTGGATTAGTTCCTGATTGAATAATTGAGAAACAGTGTATATAGACCAGGGGGCAGGAGTCTTGGGATCCCCTTAGAATGCTGCCCACCACCCCGTGCTTGTCCAAGCTGCCATTCTCACTCCCCTGGACCACTGCACACACCACCTCTGGGCCTTGCTGCTTCTACTTTTGCTCCATATTGTCTGTTCTCTACACAGCAGAGAGTGACCTTTTAGGAACACAGTCAGATTGCATCACCTCCCTGTTTAAAAAGTTTTAAGAGCTTCCCATTGTACCTAACATAAAATCCAAGATCTTTCTCATGGCCTAGAAGGTCCCACCTGGTCCTGCTCTTCCCACCTCTCAGACTTCATCTCCTAATTGTCTCCAGCTGCATTGACCCTTTTGCTCATCCTCCAGTGTGCTCAGCTGCTTCCCACCTGGGCTTTCACACCTGCAGTCCCTGCACCTGGCAGGCCTTCCCTGCCCATCCCCAGCTCTGTGTGGTTGGCCCCTTCTCACCCTCCAGGCCTCAGTCCAGAATCCCCTCCCAGCCTGATACAATCCCATCCCCAGTCCTGTCAAATTGTCCTGTTTTGAGATCTTTATTTTATATGCACACTTTCACATTACCTTGCTTCACTTTTAAAGAACTGGGCTGTTTCGCTGACGGTCTGACACTCGACTGTCTGAAATCAACTTCATGTATCTATTCACTGGAACTCTGTTCCCTGCAGGAATCTAACTTCATGGAGTCGGGGGCTCCATCTTGCTCATGTGTGCACAGCACACGGTAGGCACCCACTAAGTATGTGTTGGGTGAGTGAATGAAAGGACGTGAGTGTTTTCTGGATTGGCTCCCTCCCCTCCATCTCTGCTCTCCATCACCCTCTGTCCTCTGGTCCCTCCCACCTTCACCTCCCTGCCTATACTTGCGTCTCTTCCATCTGTCCTCCATGAAGCTGCCAGAATGATCCTTTAAAAATACAGATCTGGGATGCCTGGGTGGCTCAGTGGTTGAGCATCTGCCTTCAGCTCAGGTCATGATCCTATGGTCCCTGGATCGAGTCCCAAATTGGGCTCCCCTCGGGGAGCCAGCTTCTCCCTCTGTCTATATGTCTCTGCCTCTCCCTGTGTGTCTCTCAGGAATAAATAAATAAAATCTTTTTAAATTAAAAAAAATAAAATACAGATTTGGGGTGCCTGTATGGCTCAGGTGATTAGGTGTCCGACTCTTGATTTCAGCTCAGGTCATGATCTCAGGGTTGTGGGATTGACACCTCATCGGGCTCTGCACTCAACCTGGAGTTTGCTGGTCTTTCTCCCTCTGCTCCCTCCACACCTCCCTCCCCTCACTCTCTCAAATATATAAATAAATAAAACTTCTTAAAAAAAATACAGATCTGGCCACAGCCTTCTTCTGATCGCCAATCTCCAGTGGTTTCCTGTTTCCCCAGAAGAAATTCTGTTTGCCAGCGGGTGAGCGACCATAGTGCACATGCACATCGCGGTGTGGGATGAGGACTTCAGTGGCCTGCTGAGTGATTTTAGGGATATGTAGGGACAACATTAGGGGGTGTGTATGATGCCTGTGGTGGGTAAGTGGTCCCTGCCCTTCCTCCCACCTACAGGCTGCACTTCCTGCTGCCAGCTAAGCTCTGTCTCCTAACCTTGAATGTGCTTCCTTCCGTCTTTCCTCTGCCTTCCAGCCCCTGAATCCTTCTCCTGTAAGAGCATGCCAACCCCTTTCCCCACCACAGCAGTCACTCCCACAAACTACCATCTCACTGCCCATCAGTCTCACTCCTTTGGTTCTTAGTATTCACTTGTTTTTCCCCTCTACAAAGGAAAATTGTAAGTTCCAAGAGCTAGGCACCTTGTGGTATTGCTTCATCATAACCCGAGGATGCTTTGGCGCGAGGCTTTACCCATTGACTATTCTGTGTCCATGACCAAGTCATCGACGTCCTCCCAATTCCATCACGGTGGCCCCTGGTGTCAGACAACTGGCAGTTTGAATCAAAGCTGTTGCATCAGTTATGGACCTTGGGCATTTCCTCATTTCTAAAATAGAACGACAAGGTGCCCAATTCAGTGGGTTATTGTGAGGATTAAGTCCTGTCCAGCAAAGTCTGGTGAAGAGGAAGGAGTCAAATGTTGTCCTTGGAATCGGGATTTGGTTTTTAGTTCCACCATCATCAATCCCAGGATCCTGGGATTCTGGTCTCTTAGGTCACATCTTGGAATTTACATATGACACTGTGATTTGAGAAATGTAGATCAAAGGTGATCTGGGTTCTATGAAAGAGGAAGTGGGGCATCCCCATCAATTTGGGGTGATGGGTCATTCACACTTCATGGAACTCCCTATGGATCCTCACGCAGCCTATCACCTTCCACTTCTCATCCCCACTCTGAGCAGTGGGGTGCCATTTGGAACAATGGGATAAAAAGCTTTGAGCTCATGGCTTTGGAAGCAACCTCTGCAGGTGGGGGTGGGCAGTTCCCAATTCTCAGTGAGGCCACATGGGTTGGTAGAAGCCGCATGGATTCCAGTTCTGGTTCAACTGCTCCCTAGCTATGCACCTTAGGACAAGTTCCTTCACCTCCCTGAATCTTGGTTTCATCAACTCTAAATCGAGAATGATGGGATTTGCTGTTTGTCACCCAAGCTGATGTTGTTTTGCAACTGAAATGGAAATCAAACTGGAAGCTCTGGCCGCCCACACTGAGATTTGAGATTAACTGGGGCAAAGGGCTGATGAGGTGGAGGAGCCAAGGCCAGAGGGATTTATGGCAGCCCAGGGTTTATGGTTTTGATATGGATTTATTAAGCACAGTCTGGGGCTGCAGTAGCCTCCTCTGGCCTCTAACCCCCTTGTCCATGCTGGCTGCCACATGGACAAGGCTTCTGTTGCAACATTATGGAAAACATTTCCTGGAGCTCAGGAGGTGAGGGAGGGGATGAGGGAAGGCAGGAGCGGGCCCCAGGGATCTGCCGGCAGCTAATGGGTGCTCTTGAGGCTGGAGAACTTGATTAGCTTCTCATCAGAAATGGTCTGGAGAGTTCACACTGAGCCCCTGGTGGTGGGCACCTCATACCCAACAGCCTTAAACAGTTACTGTGGACTCATTCAATTTAATCCTGACTACACTCCCAGAGGGAGTTATCATTCCCAGTTTACAGATGAGGCTCAGAGGAGTGAGGGACCTGATCAAGGTCACACTGATCTGCGACTCCCAGACCAGAACTGCTGTCCCCTCCCTTGGGGCAGCTGAAAGGGTTTCCCTGCTCCACCTTCATCCTTGAGTGCCCCCACTCTGGCATCCAGAGACCAGCCACCCCATCAGGCCCTACCCATCACTGAATGCCGCGGTGTGCTTTCCCCAGGGGATATGCCTTGATTTGTAGCTCTCACCTGTTCTTGTGGTGGAAACGCTCCCACCGCCACCATCAGTGTCACATTGCCACACATGAGGCTAAGAAGGGAACCTAACAATTGGCTCTCCAGTATAGCCCTGAGTGAATACGAGGTTGTGGTGTGTGGTGGCCACAGCATGAGCCCATCTATCTAGTTTATCAGGGGAAAGGACCAAGGTGGCTATAGACCTGGCTAGAAATTCTTGAGTGCGTTCTTGCCTCTGTTCATTTTTAAAACACTTGCCTTTATGGGGTGCCTGGGTGGCTCAGTCAGTTAAACAACTGCCTTCAGCTCAGGTCATGGTCCCAGAGTCCTGGGATTGAGCCCTGCAACCTCAGGCTCCCAACTCATTGGGAAGCCTGCTTCTCCCTCTCCTCCCTGCTCGTGCTCTCCCTGCTATTTGTCTCTCTCTTTCAAATAAATAAAATTAAAAAAAATTAAAACACAACACTTGCCTTTATGAAATTTCCCCATGCCTACTCATCCTGTATTGCTGGCAGTTGGTCCAGGTCCCTGGAAATGATCCAGGTTAGGGCTCCATCTTGGACCCTCTTGCCAGTCTCCCAGATCTTTCCACCACTCTCCCACCACATCCCTCCACTCTTCAAGAGGGAGGATTGACTTTCACTCTCTCTACATAGTGAGCACTTGGAATCAGGGATCAGAGTTAGAGTCCCACTTCTACCTCTACTCTGAGCCTCAGTTTTCTTGACTAAAAAGGCGGGCAGGAGGCAAGGAAAATAATGTCTAACCTGCTTACCTCTTGATGTGAGATTAAAAAGTAATAATTTTGCACACTATCAAGGACCAGCTGACTATTCTCATTTCTAACACCTGACAAGGAAGAAAGGACACCCATCCAAGGACTTAGAAAACATATGTGCCATTTATTTTGCTTTATAAACTTTTGTTAAAACACACAAGAGTAAGAAATGTTTTTTTGTGTTTTTGTTTTTTTGTTTTTTTGTTTTGTTTTGCTTCCTTGCCCCATTGGGTAGCAGTGACAGGAGCCAGTGCATTCACACCTGCAGGAAGCAGCCTGCTTCCGGAATTGCTTGGTATAAATTTCACAATTCATCCCAATCAGGGAAAATCACAGAACAATTTGGCAAAAGTAATTGGCCTGGTCATCACAAAAAACCCAGGAGCATCTGTTTCCTAGCCTTCTCCGTCCATGCTGCAGGGAGTCATATGGATTCTGGAAGCTCCTGAGAGCTGCCCAGAGAAGAGGCTGTCTTGGGGAAGAACTGTAGGGTCCATGCTCACCCTCCCAATCCTTGTTTAGTTCTCCAGATTTTATATTTTAGGACCAGAACTCATGTGCTGTAAGAGAAAGAGAGAAACGGGGGGGGGGGGGGGAGACTTTCCAATGCCATGTCCTCAGAATTAGAAAACTAAATTGCTCTTTGTTTTGTGCTTTGTACATTACAATAAAATTATTAAAATCGAATGGATTTCTCCTCCTGGATGGGTTAATTTGGGGTTGAGGACTGAGCCCCTGACCCAGAAGTCTGCTACCGTTAAAAGCCACCGCTACCCTACTCCAACCTCTGGAAAATTCTTATTTAACTTCACTCTCACAACAGAGGGCTGAGAAACACTGGAGGCTGGAGGAGCAAAGAGTGGAAATGACCAAAATGACAGAATGATTCCAGCTTCCTCACCTTGCCCCAGATGAGTCTGGTCTCCCTGACTGGGATTTCTGGGGACTTGGAGTAAGGGATGACTGGGGAAGGCTCGGGAGCTCTGAGCAGGAAAGTCTCTCCTGGGCCTGGGGACTTGGTGAAGCAGCATGGCCAGGCTGCTCCTGGGACCACTGGACATGGAGAGGTCTCTCTTGGACATACTGCCCTCAAGCCGCCTTATGTGCCTCTTTCACAAAAAGGAGCAATCACTAATAGTGGAATTTGGGGGTACTGGGTCTTGCCCCTGTCCACTCAGAAGGGTCAGCCTGGGGTGTCTAACTGTTCACTCTCCTCCCTCAGCACAGCTTTGGCCCCAGGACACATCTCTTTCATTTCCACTAGTTAGTGGCATTTTCCAGAATTTTCCCAAAGCCACCAAAATTCTGCATGGATGATGTACTAGCTGTTACATCTTGGGGCTTAGTATTTCCAGAGCAGTGCTCAAACCCAGGTCTCATCTCTCCCTGGCTCACCAGAACTATCCCACTTCTGGACTGCCAGCACACATCACCCAAGAATGAGACCCCTGCTACCCCTCCCCCAGGCTTGGGGAGTGAGGAGAGAAAAGGGGTCCAGCAGTTATGAATTCTCCTACTTTTCAGCAGACAGGATGCTGGACCCTACCTGGACGTTAGTATAACTCCAAGCCAATCTTAGTCCAAGATGTTGGCAGGGCCCTGGGAAGAATAAGACTTTGGCTTCTGAGGCGGGTGATGGGGGCAGGAAGTCCCTCAACCGGATCACAGGGAAGACAGAGGGGCCCTTTTCAGCCCCCGAGGTTAAGAGCTCCTGTTCTGACCCAGGCACCCCAGGATCAAATCCTGACTCAGCCCCTTATCAGCTGTGCTAGTTGCAGGAAAATCGCGTAACCACTTAGATTTCAATTTCCTCTTCCGCAACAGTCTCTGGGTAATAGAGAGGACATAGAAGATGTTGCATGTCAAGTGCCTTAACACAACGCCAGAAAAGAGGCAGAGTTTGAGATCGGCCCTGGGGTGGGGGTAGAGGACAGATGTGGGGGTACCTCCTCCCTAACCTCCTTCTGAGCTGAGCATGCACCCATCCATTCTCATCTCCAGGTCTCCTCACTCTCACCTGGATCACATCCTCAGCCCCCATCTGTCCTCCCCGATCCCCCCACCCCCACCCCCTGCATGTCCTCCCAGCTGCTCTCGGCCTAGGAGCCCAAACCTCAGTGCCTCAGTCTGGCATTCAAGACCTCTGTGCTGTTCCAGCCAGCCTGGTCTTTCCATCGCCTCCCTCTCAGGCCCTTCTTCCAACCTGAGGTCTTGCCAGACTGTTTGCCCTTCGTTGGAAAGTCCTTTGTCACCTGCTCTACCAGCTGGAATCTGGCCCTTTCTGAAAGGCCTAGTGCAGACTCTGCCCCTTTCCCAGTGGTTTCTCTGACCACCTCAGCCCCTCCAAGTTCAGCTGTCCACCTGGGATTGTCCTCTCGTTGATACCCTGTGGGGAGCATCACCCCCAAGGACCCCGCCCAATTCCCTAAGAAGGGAGGAGCCACGCGTCAGAGGTGGAATGGTGTCTTCCTTCTCAACAATCTCCCACGTGGTGCCTCATCCAGCTAGTGCTGTAAGAATGCTCCTGGAATGACTGGGGGATTGTTTGCAAGTCTTCGTCAGCTTCTGGAGAGGTGGCTATGGAGAAATTAAGATGGCTGAGAGGAAGGTGAGGTGGCAGGTACAGGGAGCATTGGAGGGGGTTGGCAGCAGAACAGGGAAGGGTCCGATGCCCTGGTCTGACCCAGCCTGGAAGGGGTCTGTGTTGGGGACTAGGACAGTACTTGGAAAAAGGAGTACCGGTCTGAAGGGGAAGGTTTGAGTGAGGTCCCCTGTTGTCTCCAGACAGCTGTCCTTCGGGGCTGAAGCAATTGGCAGTAGGTATGATGAAGGGGAAGGCAGTGGCTTCAGTGAGAGAAGTTGTCCAGAAGATTTTCCAGCTGCGGTCTCCGCAAGTCAAAGCCCCATCATCCAGAGCAGGGGGTGGAGGACAGCAATGGGATGCAGCCCACAGCCCAAGTTCTTGGTCTCCTGGCCTTTCCACTGCTGCCCTGAGACTGGCCTTGTTGTCATGGCTTCCTTCACTGTGAACAAGTGACCACTGGGGCTCTCGGAGGGGGCTAGGGCCAGCAGAGCCCCTGACCCCCAGCGGCTTGCTAGATGACTTCCTGCTTGGTGATGGTCGGCTGGGGGATGGCGGAGGGGGGCTTGACGATTGTGGCAATGGCTCCTGGCAGGAGCTTGTAGGGCTCAGACCCTGAGCCACCTGGGGGCGAGGGCTGTGGAGTCTCAGGGGTGGCTGGAGGGACAGAGAGACAGACAGAGACCACTGAGAATTCCAGCACTTTGGGGAGTAAGTTTCTTTCCCCACCTCTGACTTAGTTTCCTCTTCTGTAAAATGAGAGAATTAAAGTAGACAATCTCTATGGTCTCCTACGGCTCAAACCTTCTGAGTCCCAGATCAGAAAATCTAAGTTTGGTGAGGTCGAGAAGGCTGTGGCTGGGCCAGGTGTGGTCAGAGACTTCTGCCCAGGTCCTACCAACCCCTACCTCCCCCACCATGTAACATGGAGATCTGGACTGCTTCTCCCAAACCAGGGCCCAATTCTGACTCTCTTCAAGGACAATGGGACATGTGACAACAATATCCTTTCTTGGAGAGAAGGAGCAGCAGCTGATGAGACTCAAGGATCTGGCCAACTGGCTCCAAAAATATCATTCCTTTGATATTTAGGTAGATGAATAATAGAAACTAATTGGCCTCACAGCATCACGTATTTGAAAGTTAACTTTGACCATGACCCACTTGGCCAACTTTATTCGATGGACAACTTCTCCAAAGAAAAATCTTAATGAAACACAATCTCTTTTTAGTGGATCACCTTATCCCAATGATAATCCTACTTTTTAGAGAACTTTGTCCAATGCCAAACTCACTCTTGTGAGATTTCACCTCAGAGGACTATCTTGACCAGTGGCCATCCTCACCCAATGAGTAGCCTCACCCAATTGTCTAACGGATAGTCTTACCTAATCTGGCAGTCTTACTTCAAAGAACAATTTTACCTGATAGGCAACATCACCAATTGAAATTCTTATCCCAATGGACATCTTCACCCAATGGATCCCTTATCCCAAGGACAGCTTCATTCAGTAGAGGCTGTTAATTACCTCACTGAATAAATGGCCTCACTGAACAAATAGCCTTATCAAATGGACAATCTCACTCCTCTTCCTTATCCTCCCTGGAGTACAGAGGCCTGTTATATCCCAGGTCCCATCTTCTAGATCCATCCTTATCCTGGCTCCTCTCTTGGGCCCCAATCTCATCCTTTGCTGAGTAGAGTTCAAATTGCCCACCTGCCTGCCCCCTGGGTCGGGGCCACTCACACATCTGTCCATTGCTGAGGTGAGAGGGCATCGTGTTGGCAACAATGACATTTGTGCCCATGTGTTCCTGCATCAGATGAGGATGCAGGGGATGATGGGCATGAGGTGCATCACTGGAGGACCCTGTAGATAGAGAAGGAGTCAATCAGGATGGAGAGTCTAAGATAAAGACCACGGGCCTGGGGGCACATCTTCCTCAGGAGTGGCCAATCAACCTGTGCATCCAATATTGACAGTGCTTGTTGGCTACCTATTTCTGAGTTGGTAAACTGGGGCTTACCATTCCTATCTATAGGTTTTATGAGGGTATTGAGACAAACCAAAAGAACAAAAGTTTAAAGAAAGAAGGAGTGTGTAAAAGCTGTGAGATCTAAATCTAAAAACGAGTAATGTATCAATTAAATATTAATATAATGGATTTAATCAATGGCTCTCAAAGCTCCTTGGCATGTATGTCCTTCAAGCATTTGGTGCCAACTCACCTTTAGCCTCGTCCCCCTCCCCACACCTCTGCTTCAGTCAAACTAACCTATTCATAGCCCCTAAGTGTTCCCTGTCCTTCCCTATCTCTCTGCTTTTGCTCATATGTTCCTTCCACAAGAGATGCTTTGTCCACACCCCCATGTCCACCAGTCTAAATTCCAGCTCAGAGAGTTCCACCTCTGGGAAATCTTTCCTGATTTTCCAGGAGGAAACAAACCTCTTCTTCCTTGGAATTCCTATTGTAATTTATCCCTAACCCATCTTTTGGGAACATCTACTTTTCTGTCCATGAATATTAAAATTACAGATGTACTTTTCTTCCTTTTGAGGGCCTAGCAAAATGTCTAGAACTCAGTAACTACTTCAAAAAAGCATCAGAATAATAACACCATATAAAGTATAGTTTGGTAATAGCCATGGTCACTGGTGTGCCATGATGGGGTTTTAAGGCTTCCAAGAGGCCTCTAAAGTTTCGATGACAGCTATCAATTATTGAGCATCTAATATGTGCTGGGTACTGTTTTACAGCACTTTTCCCATTTGAAATAATTGAATTCTCTTAACAGTCCTATAGGATGGGTATTGTTATCATTATTGTCCCATTCTACAGATGAGATTACAGGGCCCAGAGAGATTAATTATTTTACCCAAGTTTACTGGCAACAGAGCACAAGCTCCATACTGATCCTTTTTTTTTTTTTAAGAGCTTACTTTAAAGTAATCTGCACACCCACTGTGGGGCTTGAACTCACAACCCTGAGATCAAGAGTCACACGCTCTTCTGACTGAGCCAGCCAGGCACTCATGTCCTGATCTTGATCTCAATGACATTTGATTCATAATTCAGAGTCAAAGTAAAAGTGAAGTGAGTTAGTAGTTCTCAACTGGGGGAGGTGTGGGGCCGTCAGGGGACATTTGACAGTATCCGAAGGCATTTTTGGCTGTCACTCCTACGGGAGTGGTAGTGGCATCACATGGGCAAAGGCCAGGGATGGGGCTAAACAGTGTACACAACAGCCCCCACAATAAAAGGATTATCTAGCCCCAAATATCTGCTGAGAGGGGCCTTAGCCATACCATCACCAGTGACCGCATCACCTCCAAAATCCTGAGTTCAAGTATGTTCACTTAGATCCTGACTCATATCCTTCTAGCCTACTTCATCTAGTACTATCACTGTAAAAATTCTTCCACCCTACTTCCGCTTCAATTCACTGACCCCCATTTCTTAATGTCTATCACCACGATCCCTAATTGCTAGAGCACCACGGAGCTGCCTTCTGTCCTGAGCTTCAAGCTTGTGCTCAAGCAACAGACTCAAACATGAAAGATATCCAGGGGGATATCTACAGCCATCTCGAGCTTTGCCAAAGTCTAAATGCTCTCTTGGTTCATCTCCACGGCCACCACCATCTCATCCTCAACCTGTTTTCCCTCTGTCTTCCTCAGTTCGGTAAGTTACTCTGTGATCATGCCTGTTACTCAAAGCAAAAAAGTGGGTTTCATCCCTGATTCTTCCCTTCCCCCGCTCCCCATATCAGATTGATCACCAAATCCTGCGTGTTCTTCCTCTGCACAGGTGATCCAGTTTATCTAGGCATGTCTTCACCCCAGCCTCCACTGTCCTACCCCGACCTGGTGCCAATAACATTCTCAGGGGTCTCCTGCCTCTCCTGTGGTCCTCTGAAATTTACTTCCAGCTAACAACCAGAATAGTTTGTTGAAAACAGGAGTCTGATTTTCAGTCTTCTTATGAAGGTTGCAATGAAAATGAAATCCAGATTTCTGACCGTGGCCTACAAGGCTTTCCGCTCATGATTTTAGTGCCTGCCCAGATCCATCTTCATCTCACGCCAGCCCCATCTCACTACCTTATCCTTTTTTCTTGAACAAACCTCTCCTGCCTCAGGGCTTTTGCATGAGTTACTTCTGACTGTGCCTGGACCATTTTTCTCTTGGTTTTTAAATGTTCTATTCTCTTTCACACAGCACAAAAGTCACCACTTCAGAGAGGCCTGTCTCTGTTGGTCAAACTATTAAAATAGGCCCCTTTTTACTAAAATAGTGTAAAATAGAGTTACACTCTATCCTATTACCTGCCTATTTCAAAACTGTAGTTATTCCCTTTATTGTATACTTGGTTATTGCTAGTTCCCATAAGCCCTATGCACATGCGCACGTGCACACACACACACATCCACGCATACACACACACACATGCACACACACTCACATGAAACCTTCAGGAAGACAGAGTTCTTATTCTCTGCTCAATCTGCAGCACTTAGAGCCATGACTGGCACACATGAGGCTCTCAGTGCCTGAATAAATGGACCATCGTCCCCATTCTTGATGAAGAAACTGAGGCTCAGGTAGGTTAAGGGATCTGGCCAAAGCCACAGAGGAAGGAGGTGACAGAGGCTGAGAGGTGAGCCTAGGTGTGAGGCTTCTCTCTTGCCGGGGAGCCCCGCCCACCTCTCAGCCCCTCCTGGACCTGGCACGGACCTCCCAGCAACATCTCCTGCAGCAGGTTGTCGATCTTGGCCATGCCGAAGAGCTTGATGAACTGGATCTGCTCGATCATCTGCCAGGTGATGCTTTGCAGGGTGGGCAGCAGGAGCAGCAGCTCACCGAAGCGGCCTCGGGAGTCGTACTGGCGGTCATTGATGTAGTCCTCCAGGCTCACCTGCACCTGCGAGCGCAGCCGCTTGATCTTGCCCGGGTCGCTCAGCCCCTTGGCATCTGCAACGGGAGGGCACGGGCAACCTCCTCATTACCCACAGGGAAGATGAGGCAGGGAGCTGGGAAAGGATTTGGCCCAGGTCATAACATCCAGTTGTTGGCAGATCTGTGATGGGGATTTGGGGCTCCTGATCACAGCTGAGATCCCACTGACCAGACCTCAGCACACCTGCTACTGCTGGCTTAGAAAAGTCTCCCCGTTTCCCTCCTCCCTTGCCTGTGTCATCTTGGGGTCTCAGCAGGTTTCACCTCCCCCAGGAAGCCTTCTCTGTTCCATCCTCTCATGCCTGCTTTATGAGTGTCCATCATGTCCTAGATTTCTGCAGCTCTTCTGTCACTACTGGCCACACAGGATGTAACTGTCTCTTCCACTAGACTGTGAGCTCTGGATGGACAGGCATGTCTTATTGTCATTTTAAACCCACCACCTAGCACCATGCATGATCAATATTTGTTGAGTAGATAACTACATGCAGGGACGGTTAGATGGATAGAAAGAGAAATCAATGAGAAAAAAATCAATACATAATCAATACATAGATCCTTAACCTAGAAGGGGATTCAAGTGATTGTCCAATAGTTAAACTCAGTCTTCATCGAGGTAACGCATTTACTTCCTCTTTTATGGACAAAGTAAGTGGTAGAAGAAGAATTTCACCCACACTTCCAGTCCAGGGCTCCCTGCACTGAGCCACATTTGTGCATGCCTTCATTCTGTCAACAAACATGTATGGAGCATCATCTACATGCCAGGCCCTATATTGGGTCACCTGCCGTTCCAAGCCAGGTTGCTGACCCTGACTCAGCATCAATAATTCTCCCCATCTTACTGAACAATTACTATCTGTCCAGCTCCATGCTGAGCACTACAGGGGATACAGCACGGGTCAGGCTCTCAAGGAAACTGGAACCAGAAATCTTACTCTTCAAGAAATGGAGAACAGTATGTGGTAGGTAAGAATATAGGCTTGGGAGCTAGATATCTGAAGTTCAAATCCAAGCTCTGCCACTTCCTGGTTGTGTGACCTTGGGCAAATTAATCAATTTCCCTGTGCCTGTTTTCCTATCTGCGAAATGGAGATAGTAACGATTCCTACCTCATAGGTACCATGCTGTAAGTGACATAAACCACATAATGTATTTAGAATGGTGCCTTAGTGAGTGTTCCATAAACTATGGTCATCTCCCTCTTCATTACTATAATTACCGGAGGTCCTCTCCACATAAATGGAGCCTAGTACTAAGGGAGGGCAGCGCCTGGCACATGTAGGTCCCCTCTAATATGTCAGGAGGAAAGGAAGTAACCAAGCAAGGCTTTGGAGTCCAGCCACCTTGATATTGTGAAATGAAATCAGGCTTTGCACAAAGACATAGCTAAAAAGGCATTCTGGAAAAATGCGGGTGGAGAGTCAGTAGATGGAATGGAGAGAGGAGAGGCAACAACATAGACAATCAGTAGAAACACTAAAATCACAGTGAAAATACAGGAAGAAGATGGGAGAGAAAAGATGGGAATGGTGACAGAGAAAAGGGAAATCCTCAACCAGGGCAGGAGGAAAAATATGATTGAGAATAGCTAAATCCAGAAAGAGAAGACTTAGCATTTTATGTAGAACCCAAAGAAACACTTAGAAGACTCAGAAATGGTTCCCCCATGGGAGTAGGCTTTAGCAGGGAAAGTGGGGTGGGGGGACTGTTTGCATTTCAAGTATGTGCAGATCTTATTTTGATAAAAATGTTTTGGGAGTAAGAAGAAAATATGAAAGGAAAGAAAAGAAAGAAGATAGGAGGTAAGGAGAGAATAGGAAGGAGGAGGGGACAAAAGGTAAAGGGGGGAAAGAACAGAACAAAGCCTTTGGAGTCTGTGTGCCTTGTCAAGTCATATCATCCCTCTGAACCTAGGTCTTCCTCATCTGTTAAGTAGCTCACACAAACGGCCTCTCCCAGTTGAGCCTGGGAATGCAGGGTACTTAACCCAGCAGGAGAAGTTTGACAGAGGGTCTGGAGCATCAGGGGTGGGTGAGGGGTGTGGACTGTACCTGGGTCAAAGAAGATGATGGCTTTGAGGCAGGCGTACTCATTGTCATCGATCTGTAGCTCCTGGAAGGGCAGCACCAACTCGTCGAGGATGCGCATGGACACCCGGCTCATTTCGGCCAGCTCTGGGCAGTGGCGAGGGACGATGTAGTCATTGCCTGGGTGGGTTGGGAAGGAAAGGGGATGACAATGCCATCTTGGGTGTACTCTTCTCCCCAGCTTTGGACAGGCCCTGCCCTTTGCAGTTGCAATGCCACTGGTGCCCATGGGAGAGGGCCCCACGGGGATTGTCATGCCCATTTTACAGATGAGGAAATGGAGCCCAGACTAAAGGAATGAGTTGCTTGAAGTCATTAGACTGGGCCTGGAGTCTGGTTTTCTAGGAACCTTTCACACTCCGTTCTCTAATACAACCTGTAAGACTAGTGACATTCAAGGGCCACTTGGGAGGCACCAGTGCATCAAGGTTAAAGGCTCAGATTCTAGAACTAGACTGCCTGGGGTTGAAATCCAGTTCTAAAAAAAAAAAAAGAAAAAGAAAAGAAAAGAAAAGAAATCCAGTTCTACCATAACTAACCATATATATTTGGATAAATTACTTTCTGTGCCTCAATCTTTTCACCTGTAAAATGGGGATAAATAATAGAGCTTACCTCATAGCGTTGTTATATTAAAAGAGTAATGTTTGCAAAGTACTCAGATTAGTATCTGGCCTGTAGTGTGATCTCTAAAAGCATTTATTTTTTTTAAAGATTTTTATTTATTTATTCATGAGAGGAGAGAGAGAGAGCGAGACAGGCAGAGGGAGAAGCAGGCTCCATTCCAAGCAGGGAGCCTGAGAGCCTGATGTGGGACTCAATCCCAGGCCTCCAAGACCACACCCTGGGCTGAAGGCGGTGCTAAACCGCTGAGCCACCCGGGCTGCCCATCTATAAGCATTTAAAATATTACATAAACATGCCATGGAAGCATAAATGACATAGGCCAGGGGGGTTGTGCCTCTCCTGGTGGCCTCTTGCCCCTGCTCCAGAAAGCAGACTAGAGTGCACGGACAATTCCATGGATAACCCCAACTGTGCTCTAACTGTAATGCTAGAGAACTTCCATTCCTTGCATCCACATTTCCTTGCATCTGAGGGGAGGATCCAGTTGGGAGCACTGAGAATGGCCATTCTTGATCTCTCTTCCTCTTCCCTGCATGCCACCTTGGAAATCTCCTGTGCCTGGGTGCATCTGCCCCGGGGCATGCCCTCCTCGGAGCCCTGGCTGGGGCAGGAAGCCTCCTTACCTAGAAGCAGAACATCCTTGAACACCATGGATCGCTTGGTGGCTCCGAGTAGCAGGTGCTCACCGGCATGGGCTCTGAGCAGGGCCACCTGGAATAGAGAAGGGATGGTGTCCGGCAGCTGCATCCCTGCAAAGGGGTCTGCACCCCCTGGGAAGTTGCTCCTAGCCAACTCTGGACAAGTCAGCTTAATGCCTCCCTTGCCTTCACCTGCCTAATCAATAAAATGGGCATCAGAAAACTGCTGCCTTCCTTCCATAACCAATAAAACCTGGAAATGATTCAGCAGGAACCTGGAAGGGCAAAGAACATGTACTCAGAGCTCACTTTATCTGTGAACTGCTACATCCTTGGGCAAGTGGCTTCTTCCCTCTGGGCCTCATTTCTGTGCCTAATGAAACTTAACAACATTCTCAGTGTATTTTTTTCAGCAGAGGTTCAACGCCTTTCATCAGACTCTCAAGAGTCTATGAGCCAGAAAGTTCTAAATCTGTGGCCTTGGGCAGCCCTAGTGGCCAAGTGGTTTAGCGCCACCTTCAGCCTGGAGCAAGATCCTGGAGACCCGGGATCAAGTCCCACATCAGGCTCCCTGCATGGAGCCTGCTTCTCCCTCTGTCTGTGTCTCTACCTCTCTCTGTGTGTCTTTCATGAATAAATAAATAAAATCTTAAAAATAAATAAATAAATAAAACTGTGGCCTTGAATTCCTACCCATGGGCCACCAGCTACAGAAGATTATGAAGAGTACTTTATAAAATGCAGATTCTTAGGCCCTGCTCCGAAAGATTCTGAGTCTGTGTGTACAGAGGTGGGCCCAAGGATCTGCATTTCACAAGCTCCCCAGTTGATTCTGATGTGCAGTTGGGTCTGGGAAATCATTACTCTGGAAGGTCTCCAGGGCACCTGCTCACTTGACATTTTAAGATTCTAGGGTTTGGAGAGCTAATTCCAAGAATTTGAACATGGATGTTGGTTTCCAAGGCCAAGGTGTGAGCGCTGGTCCTTGGCAAGGGATGAGCTTGACGTATCCCTTCCCTGCAGAGAAGACAAAGTGGCTTTGGCAGCCTGAAGTCTGAGGCAGGGGCCCAGCCAGGATGACACTGTCTGTCCTTTCTGAACCATCATCTTTGGTGCTTGCATCAGGCCAAAGGATGGCAAACATAGCAGCTGGTGAAAAGTAGTAGCAGGCTGGTAGCCTCAAGGATCCTGTCTGCAACATTGGGTGAGAGAATTTTGGAGATCTCTTGGCAGGCTAACCTAGGAAGTAGAAGTGCTTTTGTTCATTCTATTCATCTGATTGTTCATTCTTTTGGTCGTCAAATGTTAAGCGGCTACTAGTGACAGACACTTCTTAGGAAGGAAGCATGAGAAGGAGGGATGGAGAGAGGGAAGGAGGGGGATGAGAGTCATGGAATAAAGAGCAACGGGACAAGAGGGGCTACATTAGATGTCTCTCTAAGGAGGAGACATTGTCGAGGGCACGAAAGGTAGTTGGCACATAGTAAACATTCAATAAATATTTATTTGAATGAAGAAAGGAAGGAATGGGTGAATAGATAAATGAATGAAAAAAAAAAGATGAATGAATGGACAAACTCATTAACTCCCTCTCCAGATCCAGCCCCTCCCGGGCAGTCACCAGCCCTTCATCTATTCTCCCCAGGTTATACCTTGTGAGGATGACAAGAAAGAGGAGAATGGCAAAGAGCCTTGCAGATGAGAGACCACTTTCCATGACCAGGACAAGTGAGGCCAAGGACACTTAATGCTGAGCACTTCCCACTCACCAGGCACTGTGGGAGCGCTTTCATCTCAAACCCAGGGGCAGAAGCCTGGGAACCAAATCCCCACCTGTGGCTGTCTTGCTCTGCCACCTGGGGTGGATCCCTTTCCCTCTCTAGACCTCAGCCCTTTTATTCGATGCTACTCAGCCTCCTAGGTTTCCATGGATGGAGGTGAGGCCCAAAACAAATCAAGAATCAAACAAACTTGGAAGATGGTTTCTGGGGCAACTATATTGGGCAAGATGGGCTCCTTATACACCATGAATGGGGAGCTGGGAACCCTCCGGACATGGCGGCTATTCCAGGGGTGGACAGGCGGGGTGGGGGTGTTAATGATTGCCCTGTGTTGCTGGCCACCCATCACTGCTCTCTAAGAATGCTCTGAGCCCCAGCCAGGGAGGTTTGGGTGGGAAATTGAGGTTAACAATTGCTCAGCTTGGGGGTATCTTATTGCCCTGCTGAGCCCCTGGGAAGGAACAGAAGGGATTAAATATTAATACAGACTCTCCAGCAGAGGAGACCAGGGCCAGGACACAAGGAGCAAGGGGAAAGGCAGGGGCAGCTTGGCTGACATCCCCGGCCTGTTATCCCTCCCAAAGCAGCGAAGGATCCATAGGACAAAGCCTCTGATCCAGGGACCAGCCAAACCAGTGAGAGGGACCAACCAAACCAGCGTTTCCACAGCATGTACCACCATAGGATGCCAACAGGTGTTCCAAAAGAGTCTGGGGGTTACCGGAGTTTGAGAAGCCCTGGGTCCCACAAAGTTCAGCAGCTTCCTGGCCTGAAGGAAGAAACCTGAATTGTCTAATATACATCACCAGGGTGTTGTGTACATGTGCAAAGGCACTGATGGGTCTGGGGTGCTGTCCATCAGCGCCCCCAAGCTTCCATCTGAGCTGAGAGGGTGACCCAGTCCAGCAACCCTTTGCCAGACAGGAGAGGCCTACGAGGTGCCTGGTCAGGAGTGATCATTTGCAGTATCTTGGAAACTCATCTGTCCTCAGACGTGCACCTCCGTTGCCCCAGTCTCTTTCCCTATCCCCAGGACATTTTTTGATTCCAAAGAAGATACTTTGGGAAATAAAACGCTGAGTCAAGCCATCTTGGTGGGATACAAGAGTGAAAGTGACATTTAGGGAGGCCAGCTGTGGCCTGGGCCACAATGTCAGTGCTCTATTAGATGATTAATGCATTTCAAATGGTGATGTCCTTCATTTTTTCTGAAACAGATATTTTAATTCCCACTTTACAGATAAGAAAACTGAGGCTCGGAGAGAGGAAGCAATTTCAGTCTCAGAACCAAGGCTCACGCTCAAATCTTATGATCCCTGGCTCAGGGGTCCCTGTCAACATGCCCCAAGGAGAGCTGTGTGGTGCAGGAGTGCAGTGGCTAGGTGCCTGGACTTTGGAGCTTGCCGACCAAAGTACACTTGCATGCACAGTGTTCTAATCCCAGCTGAGCTGGATATTAGCTGTGTGACCTTGAGCAAGTTACTTAACCTCTCTGTGCCCCAATTGCATCACCTGTAAGATGGGAATGACAATAGCACCTAACTCATAGGGCTGCTGGCTGGATTAAATGAGTTAATATTTGAATAGTGATTTAAAATCTCTGGGCACACATGAGCTCCATGTGTGTTCTGTTAAATAAAATAAAATCAATCCAAGGCTGTACCCTAAGTGGGCCGCAGGACCCACCTGCCCAGTGCTCCCCCTGTCTGCAGACCATGTCTTCTCTCACCTGGTCATCCAGAGGGAGCTCACAGAAAGCAGGAATGTACTTGGCCCACTCAACGAGCACCAGCAGCTGCTCCTTCATGGACTCACACACGTCTGCGATGCTGGCGATCTTCTTCGCCCGAATGTCTCCGTTGATCCCAGAGACGGGAGAGGTGATCTGGGGGGAGTGAAGGATAATGCTTGGGGATGGCCAGGCACTCCCTACAGTCTCTGTCCCCTGCACAGAGCCCCCCCCCCAACAGTTTCCCTGTCTGGAAAAGGGGAGATGGACTGTGGATGCCTCCCAGTTCAGGAGGAAGCTCAGGGGCCAATGAAGAGAAGAAATGATGCCAAAGAAGGCAGATATGAGGAAAGAAGGCTCCCCCTGGGCCTCCACCTGCTTTCTGCACCCACCTACTCCTCTCCTAGCTCCTTAGAACCCCAAGAACCCCTCAGCCTTATAGGAGAAGCAGGGGGATAAATCATCATTCTTGTTTGACAGGTGAAGAAACCACAACCCAGAGAGGTGCTGTGACTCGCCCAAGATCACATAGCAAGGGATAGGCTGAGCCCTTCTTTGTGGGGCAGTCCCCACTTTATGGGGACAATCTGTCTGCTTGTCCACTAATCTGTTCTCTCGGGGCTAAACTGATCTCAGGCCCTCAATGGAAGCAAGCTCTGCTGGGCCTGCAGATGCATGCAAAAGGATGAACTAGAAGGTGCCACAGAGTGCAAGACCTGGGTTCGAGTTCTGTCTTTGGTACTAAACTGATTCAGTTTCCTTTCTGTGATATCCCAGGGCCCTTCCAGCTATTACTCCAGGGCCTGGCTAGAGAGGACAGGGGTGGAGGTGAGACCCCTCTCTGGTGGGTAGAGGGTCATCCCGATACCTGCTGGGACAGGACCTCGGCCTGCAGCAATGCATTGATGGAGGGCAGGCTGCTGTCCTCATAGCTTGACCGGCGAGTGCTGATCCGGTCCCGTTCATTTTGCACAGCTGCGAGGAGGCAGAGAGAGGTGAGGAGGGAGGACAGGGATGGAGTGGAAGGGAGGGGAGACTGCTCCCTTCCTGACTGCTGAGGAGTGGATGAGGTGTGAGGGGAGAGAGTCTGACCCACAAGGAGTACTGCAGGGCTGATCTGGAGTAAAGGAAACACATTTGGAGGTGGGAGTGTGGGGGGGTACAGTTCAGGGGGGCAGAGCCTGGACGTAGGACTAAGGGGAGATGGATTACAACCCAGTGCATGGAGGAAACTTCTAAGCACCAGAACTGCCCGCAACACAGTGGGGTGCAGCAGGAGTGATCCACCTGTCCCTGGAGGGACACAACACAGTGATGCCTTGGCAGAGAGTTCAAGATGGGTCTTGAGTATTGAGTAAGAGATCTGTCTAGAAGACAGATTCTTAAGTTCTGTTTTGGAAAAGGGTCCCTTTTGTTCCAGATGAAAGTGTGTAAAACAAGCAGAATGAACTGCTCTGGGTGACACAGATCTGGCCTGGGTGTTCCTGAACAGGAGACAGGTGTTCCTGAACAGAAGGCCCGGAGAAGGGGATCTGGAGGTCCCACCTGCCCTGACACTCATCCATCAGCAGGAGCTGCATCTGCTCTGGGCCAACCCTCTTAGAGACAGCAAGAAAAAGCCCCGGCTCCCTCCTGCCCTGCTGCGGGCTCTCCCCCAGGAGCTCAGAGCCACGGGCCTCCACCTACTAGGGCCCCACTCCTGCTTGTGCATCCCCGTCCACATCAGTCCCGGCCTAAGATATAAGACGGACCGTCTGCTGCCCTGGCCCCATCTCCTGGAGTCCAAGAGGCCTCACTGTGGGACGAGGCTTTGCTGAGGCTGGTAGGAGGGAGGGCGAGGCAGCACGAGCCCGGGGTACCTGTCTGGAACTGGCCACTCACTCTCCGTGTGCTGGTACGAATCACATTCTGTCTCAGGGCCTGTTTCCCCGCCTACAAGCATGCCCCTCTCTCTCTCAGGGGCCACCCCAGCTCGTGTCCACCTGCTGTCTGGAATCCCCCCCCCCCAACTCCGGGCTGGGCCCCGCTGCCTCTTCACAGGAGCTGCCAGGCTCTTTGCTTCTGGCCTCGCCCTGACCATCTGGGCAGCTCTCCGAAGACAACGGGACCTGCTAAAACTGATTGAAGTCACATCCCCCCACTGCTCAAGACCAGGGAGGCCCCATCTCATGCTGAGTGACATCACATCCCCTCACCATGGGCCTTCCTGTCTCATCCCACTCTGTCCCCCAAACTACCACTGCTCCACTGCTGGGAAGTCTGCTCCCCCCACGGCTTAGCTGCTTCTTCACTTGGCCTGGCTCCACGCAGACGGCACCTGCTCAGAGTCAGGCCCTCTGACCACCCTGCCTGATGCAGCATTCCCTCCCTTGTGCTCTGCCCCTGATTTATCCTGCTTTCCTTTTCTTCTGGGCCCTTATCTTGGAATCTCTTGTTCATTCCTTTCCTCTCTGTCTCCCGATGGGAAGGAATGCTCTGGAAACCTAGAACTCCATTTCTGCTCACTGCTGTAGCCCCAGCGACTAGAAGGGAGCTGGGCGCACAGTAGGTGCTCAAGAAATGTCTGCTGCGTGCATGAAAGAAGCTCTGATTCCCAGGTGGGCCTGAGGCCCTGTTTCTCAATGGCACATCCACAGGGCAGCCACTCAGCTTTCTCATGATTTCACACCTTGCTGAAATCAGAGAATGAAAGCCAGACAGTCTAAACCAAGCCCTGGCGTGAGTGGGTCCCGAGGTCAGGGATCTCTCCTGAGACCCACCCGCCGGGACAGGGCCAGCCCCCGACCACTGCTCCCCGGTGCACGTGGCAGCCCTGCCCGCCGACACCCCTCCCTGGTTGCCAGGGCCCGCACCCACCAGGGCGCCGAGGGGAGGCGGGCCCAATAAAAGGGCTGCTGTCAGCAGCTGCGGATTGGGCTTCCCCAAGGTTAGCCGGTGTTATCAGTGCCCAGCGCGAGCTCAGTCACGGAATGATGTTTTCCAAATGTTTGCTCAGTATTAGCAGGGTCGGGGACCTAATGTAACTTCTATTGAATATTAACCGACCTGGCCAGAGGCAGAGAGGAGGACAAGCCTGTCTTCCCAGAGAACCCCTGGACGGGGCCCATGGGGGGGGTGGGCCAGGGTTCTGAGGAAGGGCCCATCAGACTGTCCCTGGCCCACCGCCAGCCTGTACCTGCTGCACCCTTGGGCTCTGCTTCCTGGGTAGGCTTCTGTCCAGGGGCTGGGCATTCATCCTGGGTCTGCCAGCCAAGCCCCAGGTAAATGTCATCTCAGGTTAGAGGAGAGAACTCAAGACCCGCAGTTGGGCCCACTGACCCCCAGAGTCTTTCCTTCCAGGGAACCCACTCCGGGCCACTGTGGAGTCCCCTGGCTGAGACTCACAGGCCTGTGGGACCTGGAGCCCTTTCCCCTGGTCAGGAGGAAGCTTCAGGAATCTAGACCGGAAAAGATGACTCCAGGCCGAGCCCTCCCAGTTTCAGCTGGTGTGTGCCCAGCTCAGGGGAGCCTGAGTCCTAGTCCTGACTCCACCCAATCATGTCGCCTGTCTGGCTTCAATTTCCCCATCTGTAAAGTAGGGAGGGGGTCGATTTGGTGACCTTGCCTCCACCCGGCCAGCCCATAAATCCTGCTGGCAGCACAGGCCTTCCTGTCGTTGGGGACCACTTCTTGGTTTCAATTCCTGAATCCTAAGGCTATCAAAGAAGAGAAATGGAAACTTGTCTCAACTCTCCAGATCATAGAGGCTTCCACCGAGAAATCTCTCTTGGCTTTGTGGACTTGCCATCAGGCTGATGAGGGGTGTTGAGACTACAAGACTTCCGCAGAACTGGTAATATTCTTTCTTCCCAGAGCTTGGCCTCCATGACAACCGAACACCCTGCCGCCCTGACCTATTCTGGAAGCAACCAAGTGACTGCTGGTGCCATGATCTTCAGGTTGCCCGAGGCATACAAATTACTAACATTTACTAGCTCACACTCACCATCAGTCAGTGCTCCTATCCTCCTGGCATAAAGCCTCCTTCCCTGAGCCAAGAAACGCGGGCTATTTTCAAGGCTACACTAAGGCAGACTGGTCTGGGGCTCTCTGTCCCCTTGCAGGAGCCAGGATATGGGTCTGCTGCCTCCTTGGCAGCTCGGGGGCAGGACCAGGGAACAGACACACATGTCCCCGTGGGGTCAGGTAAATCTGTGAGTGCATAGCTGGACTCAGAGCTGGAAGGCACCATTGTCTCCTCCTCATTTTATAGACGGGAACATTGGAGCCCAGAAGAAATGTCTTCCAAGTGACTGACACTCGTGTCAATGACTCTGGATGTTAAGCAAGAGACGTATATAAAGACTGACCGCATGCGGGCACCAGGCCACGTACAGCCTAGGAAGGCGGCCAATCCTTTTCCTGCCTGTCTGTCACAAGGCCTGAAATTTTACCACGGAAGATTCAGCTCTCGAATCCAAAGGCTGTTTGGGGAATAAAACCACTGGCTGGGAGACCCACAGAGTGTGAGGCCCCTGGTTCTCAGTCTCTTCCTTGCCTCCAGTGGCTCAGACGTGTGTCACAGTCCCATTTCTCCCTTCCTCATTCTGCAAAGTGGTACCCAGTTTGGAGGAGAGAGACTCGACCCCACTGAAAACTGGGGAGGAGGGGACTTTGCGCTTTGAAAAAGCCTCTTCTTCACCTGAGGCTTCTCACCCCCCTCCCCCACGATCTGGGCGCTACCATTGTGAAGTTGGCAGCAGGAGGGGGCCTTGGAGCCCACCCAGCACTTCATTGAAGTCAGCAGGGCCCAAGTCCCCTACAAGACTTGGGAGCTCAAAGCAAGGCCCTGCGGGCATGACCCACAGACACATTCCTAGGGATGGGCCGGGCAAAATGGGGTGGGGTGTGTAGGGGTGGTGTTTGAACAGGACTAGACCAAGGGCTGGGCTGGTGTGCCACAGCTGTGGGTGAGGAGTGAAGGTCTGGGGCCAGAGCGGGGAAGGTAAGCAGAGGGGAGCAGGAGATGGAGTAGTTGGAGGATTCCTGCTTCTTGAGCTCGGGCTGCAAACATTTTAAGTCTCCTGAGGTCTGGAGGTCATAAGGAGGCAGTGTTGAGGTAGTGCCAGATAGTTGTGAACTCTAGTCCAAGGCACCGGGTGCAGACCTCAGGTCTTGACCAGCTGTGGGGCCTCAGGCAAGCTGCTGAACTACTCTGGACCTCAGTCCTCTCATCCAGGAAAAAGGGGAATGACAATAGTGGTGGCCACATAGGGTGCCACGTCACTGGTCACTCGTATCAAAGCCCAGCCCAGCGGCTGGCATCTGCTGGTAGAAGAAGGGAGGCCTGGGGAGACCTTCACAACTATTGCGCTCTGGTCTTCCCCTCTGCCTCCACCCAGGGCAAGTCTGACACGTCGTTCCCACGCCATAGAATGTGAAAACTTGGGGTCACCCGATACTCAAGAGTGAAGACTACGGAAGGGGGGGTGCTTATCCCTGGGACTGGAAGCTCAGGAAGAGAGCTCCCCCCACCCACACCTCACTGTGCACATTGGCTGAGTCTAGGTGGTGGGCACAGGGGCATCGGCGATGTCATCCTCGGCTCTCTTCCTGTTCGAAATAGTATATTAGAGCAAACGCCCAACCGGGCTGCCCATGGTGGTGGTGGCGGCTGGGAACCTGAGTAGCCCAGAGTGAGAGCTTATCTCTTTCTCAAGACCAAGCCCAGCCCCTCCCTGTGGTCAGATTGCCAGGCCCTCCCTCCTCTCAGCCATTAGCCATTCACCCTGGGGCCTGTCACCGAGTCATAAAGTGTGTGGCCCCAGTTGTAAACGTCCTCAGACTATGGGTGGGGGTGGGGCACTGAGGTGGAAGGGGGGCCGGGGCTCACCTTCCTTCTTCATGCCAGCCCGGAAGCACTTCTTTAGCCTGCAGTAACGACACTGGTTCCTCTTGTCTTTGTCCACCACGCATTGCCGACTAAACCTGGGGAGGGCGTGGATGGTTGGATGGAGAAGGGACAGCCCGCCTGAACGGAATCCTGGCCATCCCAGCCTTGACTCCCAGCCTCCTTTCCTCCTTGCCTTAGGACTTATGCTAACCATGAGAAAGGCCCAATGGACTCTAAGATTCTAGCCCTGTCCTGCTGAGGCTCGGAGAGGTGACATGAAGTCTGGGATGGCAACCTGATGGCAAAACTGAGCTGGAACCTCTAGCCCCTTGAGAACCAGGGACAACTCTTTCTACGACATTCTAGGAAAGTGCGGAGCCCATAGCAGGCTCCTGGTTATGGCTCAGAGTCCATACTTGGTCCACAGAAGTGACTCTCTGGAGGGGACTGTAAGCAGTAGTAGTACCCCACAGTGGTTAAGGGTGGCACCCTGAGCGTCAACATGGGTCTGCCACTGACTCAAGTTGGATGACCTTGGACAGATTCCTGGCCCTTTCCAAGCCACAGCTTCCTCATCTATAGCAACCATGTCAGAGGCGTGTTGATGGGTAGAAATTAGATAATATGTGGATGGGACTTGGCACAGCATCATTCTGTAAATGACAACTACTCATAACTGAGTGCTATTATTTTATTATTGTTGTTACTCAGAATGGGAGGTGTTGTCAAAGGAAGCCTTGGAAAGTCCTTGGGATGGGTAGAAAGGCCCAATGGACTCTAAGAATCAGAGATTGGCCCCAGGAAAAGCTCCAAGTTAGGGGGATGGGCCCCATCCTCTGAAGCTTCAGAGGAAGCTTGATCCCAAATGGATCTTCATTTGCTAAATAGGAAAAATAGGGATCCCTGGGTGGCTCAGCGGTTTAGCGCCTGCCTTTGGCCTAGAGCATGATCCTGGAGTCCCAGGATCGAGTCCCACATCAGGCTCCCTACATGGAGCCTGCTTCTCCCTCTGCCTGTGTCTCTGCCTCCCTCTCTCTCTCTCACTCTCTCTCTCTCTCTCTCTCATGAATAAATAAAATCTTAAAAAAATAAATAGGAAAAATAATGATGGGCTTGTAGGGCCAGTTAAATACATGCAAAGACTCAGTATATCTGGCATATAGTAAGTGCTCAATAAAGGGCAGTTGGTAGCTTTATGAGTGAGGTTCCTAGAGAGGATGTTCCCATCAGGATCCCTGAGGCACAAGAAAGCAGAGGAAGCTTAAAGGCCTCAGAAGGCAGATGCTTCTGGGACCCAGTCAGGGAGAAGATAGATTCTGGGGAACATCATTAGCCTCAGTGCACCCATTTCCCAGCTAGAGAAATCGGGCTCCAAGCAGGGGCTCCTCACCTGCAGGAGTACATGTGGTTCTTTCTCACGCTCCTCCGGAAGAAGCCCTTGCAACCGTCACAGCTCGAGGCACCGTAGTGTTTCCCTGTGGCTCGGTCCCCACAGATAGCACACAGAGCGCTGACCCCCAGGCTGTTGGGTGCGTTGAGGTTGGCACCTTCTGATGGGGATGTGTCTGCACCAGAGGAAACAAGAGTAACACCTCAGGACAGGCAGGAATTCACTTCCCAGAGGCTCTGCTCCCCTGATGGCTTAGATCCAGAAGCCAATATGAGCATTGTGGGGATCTCCACCACAGGGCTTCAGCCTCATCCAGACCCAGGTGCTGTTCCCACTCCCTCAATGACCTTGAGCAAGTCCCTTGGCATTTTGGAACTCCTATTTTGCATCTATTACTTAGTGATGGTTGTGACATGGCTTCAGAGTCACTTGCGAGGGTGTGCTTCTCCATGGAGGAGGCTGCAAGGCCGTTTCCTCTGGGAAGTAATGAGAACCTGGCCACCCACTAGGATGCATCTGACTCTTAGGGACCCCAATTGACTGGGCAGAGGGTGCCGTGGAAGGGACAAATACTCCCCTATCATCTGCTCAGAACCTGCTCAGGTCCTGTCCCTCATTTCTCAATGTACCCAGAGGCCTCGAAAACTCTCCCAGGGAATGGGAAGACGCACATAATGGCCCATTTGTCCTCCTGGGAGGGTCATGGCAAGGTTCTGGGCATCTTTCAAATACCACCTGTCTCAGAGGCAAAAGCTTGCATCTGTATGAGAAGGGTGATAAGAGGCAGGTGGCAAAGATTGTGGATGAGGTGCTTAGGGTCCTGGGTGCTAGTCCAGATGCTGCCCCTAACTCACCTGTGACCTTGGGCAAGTTCCTTTTCCTTGCTTCAAGTCCCCCTAGGCCTCAGTATCCCTACCTGTAAAAGGCAACCAGTTCAACTGGTCTGGTTGTTTGCCTTTTGCTTTTTTTTTTTTTTTTTTTTAACTTTCAGTACCTGAACCATACTTTTGTAAGCAGATCTTCCATCAAGGATAGACCTCTTGGAGAAGATGATAAACACCATGGACCATCTCCTCAGAAAAATGCGTGCATATGCACACCATGCAGTCATATGCACACGTTTCCATATATCTATGAATCCGACCTTGAATTCCTAGGGAACACCCCACTGAGAACTGGAGGGGGCATCATGCTGCAGTCAAGAGCACACACTCTGTAGTCTTTCTGCCAAGCTTAAGTCTGAGTTTGCCCACATCTTAGCCGTGTGACGTTAGCTGTATGAGTTTACTTCTCCATGTCTTTGCTTCCTTGCATGTGAAATAGGGAGCATAATAATCCCCTAAGACTGTTATGAGGATTCACTGAATCAATGTATATGACATGCTCGGTACATAAAAAGCACAGTATCAACATTCACGAAAGAAAATCTTTTCTGCAGAATCAAACCCCTGGAGCAGATGATGTTCAGCCTCCAGGAATAAACGGACACCGTCGCATCTCATCTCTGCCGTCGCCTGGCTGACATCTCCTGGATTCCTAAGGGTGCCCAGAGCTCAGCCCCCTCCACTTGGTGAATTATTCCCGGAGATGGGGATAATTGTTAAGCCATGTTGGTGCCCTTTCTCCCTCAGCCTCACCTCCCTCAACCCCGGGGGAGATATGACCCCACAACTCCTGGCCATTCAGGTGGAGGCTGGGGGCAGGCGTTCCTACATCCTGCGCAGAAGGGGCTGGGTGCTGCCAAGTGTGTCACCTCACTGCTGTGTTCAGCAGATAGGTCCCATTCTCCAGGAGAGAATGCCAAAGCTCAGAGAGGACCAGTGATGTGCCCAGGGTCATGATATTCCTGTTGAGTAGAGGTGCCAGGTTTATAGCCCAGGTGTGCTGGATGATTCTGGCCCATGCTGCCCTTCCTGGGGTGGCAATGCCAGTGGAGAATGCAGACCTTTCTTACAGATGCCCAGTGTTCTGGAGAAGACCCATGTGGGGCCAGGACCAGTTACCAGGGCTGAGTACCAGGTACTTCATCTTACTTAATCCTCTGGTGAGCTCTGGGAGGCAGGTGCTATTATTCATTCCCATTTGACAGATAAGGAAACAGAAGCTCAGAGAGGAAAACCTCTTGTGGAGTTCACACAGGAAGGAAGGGTCCATGCCAGAATCTGAGCCCAGATCTTTCTGGCTCCTGAGTTGGAGGCTGTCCTATCTACGGGACGCCCAGCAGTGGCCTCCACCTCAGGCGCACACAACTCCTGGGAGGTGCAGGCTCTGCAGGGGTGATGGGGCTGGTCCCAGGGAGTAGTCTGGGGCTGGGCAGTGGCCAGGAGTGTGACAGTACATAATGTCCCTGTGGGGTCACACGACACCCTGCCTAGTACAGAAGCATCTTGTGTACCATTTCCTGTTTCTTTTCCCCTCAATTCCCTTACATGGACACCCCAAAAAGCTGGCCAGCCAGCAGGCCTGAAGTGATTAAACCTATTCTGCAGAAGATAGAGAGGCTAAGAATAGGGATATGACGTGTCCAAGGTCACACAGTGAGTGGGTGGCAAGGGCATGTTAGCACCTGGTGAGGAGGCTGACATGGGCAGGGCAGTCACATCTTTCTGACTAAGCCAAACTAACCACAAGCATTACAGACCTTGGCTGAGCCACAGAAGGGAGGCAGACAGCAGGCTGACCTCGGCCACCTGCCCCCCACCTCTTCTCTGAGGCTGGCCTCTGGAAGCTACCTGGCTTCCAGGCTTCCTCCCTGCCCCTACCTCCTTGGGGAGGAGAACCTCCCACCCCTGCTTCAGATGAGCTCTTGGTGATGTGGGAGCAAATATATAAACCTGGGGAGAGACACAACGTGGGCAACAAAATCTGCACAGAGAGAAATGGACGTGTGGCTCCTGTGAATCTCCTTTGGCAAACGGCAGTATCAAACCCCTGCACGTCATGTGTCATGACCATGTTTACCGGACAGTACTGATCACTCCCCGGTCCAGGAATGCACGCCTATACACAAGCAGCTATAAACAGGGGCCCAGGACAGAATGCCCATCTAGGACACATGTCCAAAAGGCAGAGGGCGCACCAACACAGATCCACCTCCGCAGCACAGCACATGTGTGCGAACATCCACAGATACACGTACACACGCTCACTGCTGCTCACATACATAAGCAAGACAAACACACAGGCACCCCCGGGGACACCAACCAACACAGACACGGTAATCAAATACGCATGGAAACTGACACAGAACAGGCACACCCAGACAAACTAACACAGACGTGCAAATGGTCCCCAAAGGTACATCCGTGTTTGCCAACACAGCGCCCCCCATCCACACACTAGTGCCCAGAAACTCATGCGCGCACTCCAAGGAGAGGCCATGGGGACACCACAGCGCGCACTGCTGATTGGCATCTCATTGAACAAAACTTCCCTAAGAATTCCATTTTATCCTAAGTGGGGCGTTCACCCCAGGAAAGTCCCAAAGACACCCGGTTGTGCTCCCATCCAGCATCTCTAAGGACATAACATACCTTTCTACCTCTCTGGACCTAAGCCCAAAGGGTTCAAGAAGGGGCCTCAGTCGGGCCCAATTATTGGAGCCAGACACCAAGAGGGAGTTCACCATCATGTCACCGCCCGCTCCCAGGGACAGGCTGAGCAAAAATAGCCTTGGGGTAACAGGGACCAGCCCGGCCAGACAGAAGAATACCTGGGATCGACTTTAGCTGGAGAGCTGCCCACGCAGGCCTCCCCTCACCCAGAATGCCTCTGGTCACTGTACCTGGGCACACCTGTTTCACCTGGAGACACCTGTACTGGCCTACAGGCCCGACCTGCCGTTTTCGATCACTCTTCTCCCAGCCCAACACTGAGTGCCACAGATCCGCTCCCGTGCCTGGGCATACCTGTTCCCGAGCGGCGCACCTGGGCACACTCGCCCCCACCTACCATTGCCCATCGTCAACACCTGCACGTTCTCGAACTCAAGGGTGGTGTAGGCTGGGTCCAGCGCGGCACTGTAGTCAGCCATGTCCATGTCGACGAGGGTTTTGGAGAGGCGCATCCTCCCCTTCCACACCTCAGCCGCTCCCCCTGCCCAGGATGACCACCCCAAAGGCTCGGGCAGAGCCCCGGCCCCCGCCCTCCGCCCTCCCACTGCCTCCTCCCAGGGGCCCTCTCTGCCTTCCTGCGTTTCAAACCGTCCTCTGGGAGGATCTGCCGGGAGTCCTGGCCTAGCCCCTGCGGAGGGGTGGAGGCTCTGCCTGGGAGGGGTGGGGGTTAATGGTTAATCGGCTCCCCCACTGGTGGATAGGCTGGGCGGGGCTGCCGGGATTTGGCTGTTTGTTGGTTTCTGGTGGACACGGGGGTGCTATTACAGCACTTGGGGCCCCGATTCCCTGACATCCAGTTATGGATTTCTGTAAGACAGGGACACGAACTCGCCGCCACTCCCTTGACCCCTGACTCAGCCACCCCCATCGAGTCACGGTCACCCCAAGTCAGGCATCCTAACTGATGCGCTCAGACACTGACAGCCCACCGCCTAGATGCCCTGACTCCGTAACTTCCCAAATCATTGACTTCTACCCTCAATGCTCTTGAAGAGATAAAGCTGCCTTGTGGCACATGAATTAAAGACCTAAATCCCAGGCCCCAGACACCAATCTTCTAGATCCTCCTTCCGGGAACTCCCAGTTGCCCACCTTCCGGGGGGGCAGCACAGACTCACCTGGGGTTCTCCTCCCCTGCTCCCTACCAGCCCCCCAGGGCAGCCCGCTTCTCAGGGCCCGCCAGATACCATCTCCCATTGCCATCCTGACTCCTGCTTCCTTCCCCCGCCCCCCTCAACAGCCAGAGACCTGGATTACACTCAGGCGCCTACCCCCTACCAAATCGTGACTTTGGGTCAATGATTCTCCTCTCAGAGACTCAGTTTCCTCCCCTGTAAAAGACATAATCGACCTCAAAGGATGGCTCGAGTATTAAAGGAGATGGTATCAGGCAGCACTTATCAAGCATCCAAGCCTCCTCCCCCCACCATTCTGTCTCTATCTCCCTCTTCTCTCCACCCATCGCCTCCTTCAGAGGAGCCTTTCCTTGTGGGCCTGACACCTGAGCGGTCGCATGGGGCCCCACACTTAGGTCCCCATGTTTGGCTTAATGCTCTGCAACCAATTCTTCAGGATTTCTGCAAGTTCTGCTACTGGTCCTGCCTGCCTTCTACGAGCGTTCCTGGGAGGTGAGGTCGCAATGCAGGACGTAGAAAGCATGGGCAAGGGCAGAAGGGCCTAGACTCAGGATCCTGGGAGCCTGTCCTCCTCTGCCAGCTGGAGCAAGAGGGGATGAATTAGGGTGAGCGGGTTAGCAAGCAGCGAGGGGGTGAGCTAGTGATGGAGGGGATGGAGGAATGAGCCAGTGATTTAGTGAAAGGAAATGAATCAGTGAATGAGTAAATAGGTGGCAGGGTTTCTCTGTGGGTAAATCAGGGCGAGAGGTGGTGTGTGTTCGAGGGTGGGCAGAGGCATCCTCCTCATTCTTCCAATTATTAGAAGTCCCTTCTCTGCCCTGGGTAGCCTTGTTCTGTCCCCTTCCATCTTCCCCTCCAGGGATGAGATAGGGAAGTGATCGTTCTGGAGGAGAAGAGAGACTCGATTTGGTGTCAGGAGACTCAGGCTTAGGAGCTAGCTCCATCACTATTCGGATGACTTTGTTCAAATCACATCTCTCTTGGGGCCTCAAGTGCTACATCTGTAAAATGGGGAGATCTTGGCCCACTTGTCTGTTGGTCAGGACAAGACCCCCCAGGGAGGGAGAACCCAGAGAGGGAGGAAGACAGAGCCCCTCCACACATGATCTGCATCTAGAGATTTGATAAAGGCCCGAAGGAGACTTCAATTCCTGGCAGGTCCCTCCCGTGCCCACTCGGGGACATCTGACTCTGGCTCCAGTAGCCAAGACAGAGCTCAGCTGGGCAAGAGACCTGACTAAGGGATAAACACAGAGGAGGAAGGACAGCTCTGAGGGCTGGCCCCAGGTCCTGCCACCTGTCTGGCACCTGTGATAGGCCAGACACAGCTACTCCTCTCACAAGCCAGCAATATTTGGCCTACACACCTAGAGTCTCGTCAGTTCTCAGAGGCACACGCTCTCGTTACCAAAAGTGAGATGTGATTATTGGTGTGTCAGAGTTTCGCTGGTAACAAAAATAGCAAGTTTTCAATCTCTATCGATGACATTTTAGATTGAATTAAATAAAGTCTATGGTCAACTGGGGTGAGTCATGTCATGCCACACACAGGACCCATTACACATAAGAACCACCAAGGTAGACAGTCCATATGTGACAAGCTACCAAGTACACAAAGCATGACATGAACACTTCACCAAACACACAACACGCATGATCCTCTGCTTCTGAGTTACAGTCTGGAAACCTGTTCCATACCCCGCCCACGTCCCACACATCACAACCTCCTCTGTATGCAAATCTATCCACTCTTGGACTATAACTACTGACACATGAGCTTCCATCATTGATTACATACATGATTTATTTCACCCTCAGCCGACCCCAAACTGTATCTTCTAGATACATTCCCTCATATGAACAACACACCGCCTGTAAGATCTACTAGCTCTGTGATCTCAAGTAAGCCACTCTATTGAAGCCTTGGTTTCTCCTTCTGCAAAATGAACCTAACTTGTAGTTTATTGTGAAGGTTAAATAAAATAATATAAGGGTTGTTAGCCCTCCTTCCCTCTCCCCTCCACCACTCAAGAGGGTAAACCACAGGCCTTGAAATCAGAAGGAGCTAGGTCAAAATCCAGGCGCTGCCAACTTCCCAAAACTGACATCAAGTCCCACTCCTCCTAGCCTTAGTTGTGGCATTAGATAAATGGGTTGATACCTTCTTTGCAGGGATGGTGTAGACATTAAATCACCAAGTGTAGGCATCTGGTGCAACAGGGGCAATTAGCATCGCTGGTGGTTGACTCCTTGACCCACTAGTCATACAATTGGTGGCAATCAGGACCCCTGCTCAGGAGAACTCCTGGGGATGGCCTGCCCAGCCGTGGACAAACCCTGGCCTCGGTGCCATCGGCTCAGCAGCCACTTTTGCTCTCTGCCCTGCCCCGTGGGCTATCTGACCCCACTTGACATGTGGTGGCTCTTAGCAGATAACAGAGGACTTCAGAGCTCATGGAGAGGTCCAGCTCCTTCATATCATAGATGGAGAGACAGAGGCCTCTAGAAGGGCAGGAGGGCTCATTTAGGGCAGCCAGTGGGGAGGGGTTGCCACAGACCCAGCTGTGGGCAGGGTGCTCAAGCCTCTGGTGTAGACAGTGGTTAAGAGCGCTGCCACTCTGGACCACTTCATTTTCCTTTTAAACTATAGTAATGGCTAATGTTTCTGGAGAGAGCCTGTGCTAGGCCTGGTGCTAAGAACCTTCCACTCTTCCCATCTTATCCACTCTGCTTTACAGATGACAAAACTAAGGCCCAGAGAAAGAAGGGACTTGCCTAAGCCCACACAAGGGGGACTGTGATCTGAGCCCAAGGCTGACTCCAGAGCTTAATAAGGGCTTCACCCCCTATGTACTGCCTCCCTCCGGGAATTCCAGAAAGAACACCAGAGTTCTGGAGCCCTGGAGCTGGGGACTCCATCACATTACTGTCCGGAGCTCAGGGATCTGAGGAGCCAAGGAGCCTGTCCCTGGTCACCTGCAAGTTCAGAGGCATCCTCCGGACACTGGCCACCCCAGGCTGCCTGGCATCTCAGCTTCCTCTGGGCTCTTACCACCCCACTATCTCTGGTCTCTCCTCACCCCGCCCCCACCGCCTGGGGAGTGGTGCAGGGAACCCGGACTTATCAAGACAAAGAACAAAAGTCGTGGGGGAAAGAAGCCAAGAGCCATCTCCACTCTGGGGTAGGGCCCTCCAGTTTCGCCCCTTTGAAATTTCAAATTCCAGTTTGTGGACAAAGTCCTAAACTTTCTCACAATATAGGTCCCCAACCACTGACCAAACTCCAGTCCAGGCAGCCAGCAGGCCCTGGGGCTGGTGTGGCCCTGCTGCTTCCCTTGGCAGTGCTGGAGTCCAGGGGAAGGGTCCTGGGCCAACCGGGGTTCGCCGGTTACAGCCTCACCCCACAGGGACCCCTGCCTCCCATCTGAGAGGACAGCTCTCTTCCTGGAGCTGGGATCTGTCGTTTGCTGGTGGCAACAGCAGAAAACAGGTAGGCCCCTTCCCTATTCTGGGCATCTTCTCTCCCCCTTGAATTCCTAAAACACTGCCCATACCACCCTCCTTGCCTGGATAAGGCTACATTGGCTTAATCCAGTCATGACCTCCCAGAACCTCAAGACTGGAAAGGGTGTCTCAGCCAACCCACCCATTCGGTGGATGGAAACACTGAGGCCCCCAGGGTAGTGGTAGCTGGCTGTAGGTTGAGCCACAGACCTCAGGCCCCTCCCTGAGCCCCAGAGAGTGGAAGGGACCTCCTCAAGGCCGCACAGCGGTAGAGGGCTGGGTGGAGGGGGGCTTTGCCTTCAAAAGAAGACCTCAAGCTCTGTGAGGACTCCTGTCCTTCATCCCAGCCCTGGCAGGTGCCTCCTGGGGACCCGGCACGGTAGACCGTTAGCTCTCTCAGTCGCTGATGGCCCCTGGGTTGCCACGGGAGGACTTCCGAGAGGAAGATGAGGGAGCTCGGGGCTGAAGGCCAGTGGATTTGGAAGGAAACAACATTCATGTGGTTAACTGATAACCCAGCCCCATCCTTGGGCCCCCAGAAGCCTCCTTCCTCCCTGTCCTCAGCACGATTAAGACGAACTTACTTGCCTGCTAATCATTGCTGAGCCTGTTGATTTTGCCTTAAAAAATTAACTGGGCATGAGTTTGCGGTTTGCCTCACCCCTAACCCTGAAAAGGCCTGGGTGGGCAGGAGGCCACCCGGGTTATGCAAGAGGCTGCTGGCCTCCCCACGCACATCCAGCGCCTCCTCTCCTGCTCTCCAAAGGGTAGGTTTTGCTCAAGAGTCAACAGTCTGCTTGTTGCCCCTGCTCTAGGTCCTGAGCAAATTTGCTCTGTTACCAAAGAGAGATAAAGGCAGCTGGGGGGGCTGGGGGGTGCTTTACAACAGAGATGCAGAGCGGCAGCTTTGAGCACGGGATTCTAGAATCCTGCATGGT